TAATCTGTTGTTTAATCCAGTATCACAGAAAATATCATTCAAAATTAAAACATCTGATATGGAACCATAATATCATAGAGTCTGATATTAAACTATACCAAAATATATTCCAATATTAGTTGATATAATTTAGTTTCACCACAGCTTTAACAGGATTATACCCCATTCATTTTTAGTATAATACATATTAAAATAGATTATACCAATGACAAACAGATGCTACTGTATTATACAGATTTGAAATTCAGAAAAACTTCGTTTTTATAAGTTCAGACCTCAATTAACAAACCTTCTTAAATATTGGTTAAAGCCAATTAAGACCCAGGAAGTATTTTAGAATTTCGGTAATATTTGACGAATTGTATATCTATATAATTCAAGTTGCATAATTCCTGGTAAGATATTATTTTCTCATATGACTAACCAAGATACAGCCATCTTTACCCCATGCAAGATATTGCCATCTTTCATCTTAAAAAGTCACACGTGTAAGATGAGATTTACTTGTGACATCACCGGTCTATAAACATCAACAACATAGCAACAAATACACCGTTGCTACTAGTATCCATGCTCATTCTACAAAACTAAGCTGTGACGTCATAACGATGGAGCTTTGTTGCCTCGTGTATCCATGTATTTTCTACAATATTGTTATGACGTCATAACAATTGAAAGATGAAGTTCCATTAATCTGAAGCTATTTTGCACCCAGTTTTGTCATGAAGACGTGAAAATAAAGCATAATACAGAGTCATATGAGAAAAACGTTCTTGTACTCGTACCTGTGCAATATCGTCCATTCTTGACTCGCTTTGATAATGTTTCTTTATCTCGTCTGCGACTCGATAAAGAAGAATTATCAAAGCTCATCAAGAATGGACGATCTTGCACAAGTACTCATATAAGAACCTCTATATCTTAAAATTCTTAAATCTTTTAAGAAATAAAATATAAAAACAGTATCGTGTATGATTACTGTCAACCTCTGAAGATATGATATACAGGGTGTTCAATAAGAACTGATAAAAATGCCGTAACTTTTTTGTTTTTCATATATCTTTATAATTTTTCTAGTGTGCATTGTCAAGTATTATACTGATGTACTGTGAAAGTTACAGGACTGTACTCCAACAGGGTGGTGGTGCTGGGTTCAGCCAAAGGTGGTTAGTGGTGGATCAAGTCTGCACGAAAAAAGTCTCAAAATGACCAACTTAAAATGTTAATATTGCTCCTCAGCTAGCGCATCCTCTTGTCACACATCAATGTCACCTCTAAATCATTTTGAGTATTATGGTGCGTGCAACCAACAGTTTAATCAGTCAGTCTGTAATTTTTCTGATAGGAATTCATCCAATATTTCTTTTATTGTATTAATCTGACTAGGTGAAGTTACAACTTTTGGCCACCCCTGTCTGGGTTTATCTGCAACTGACTTTCTCCCTCTTTGAAAGAGCGGTACCAACAATATATGCCAGGGATAGATATAGTGTCCTTTCCATAAGCTTCATGAATGTATTTGATTGTATCCTGTTTTAATTTATCTAGGAGTATATGGAACTTGGTGCTGCTTCTAATTTGACGCTGAATATTATTGATATTCTGTTCAGCAGTCATGTTTTTGATGACATTATTTCTGCTGAGTCTGTGTAATGTAATTTCTTCATGAAGTCATCCGATCTTAAATTACTTTGACGTCAGAAATATAATTATGTATGAAAATGTTCACATTTTAAGGCGGTTATTTTGAAAAGAATTTCATGTAGACCTGAACCACGGCGAACCACTTTTGGCTCCACCCAGTAGCACCTTCCTATTAGAGGACATTCTTGTAATTTTCACAGTACATCAGTACAATACTCAACAATGGACAGTAGAAAAGCTAGTCAGAAATTTCAGATACACAAGCAATTTCAACTGACAGATGTTACAAATATTATTTCAGATTCATGTCAAAAATGCAGTTTCAACTGACAGATGTTATAAATGCTATTTAAGATACTTAAACAAAATGCAGTTTCAACTGACAGATGTTACAAATGTTATTTCAGATACATTACTGTCTAAAATACGATTTCAACTGACAGAGGTTACAAATGTTATTTCAGATACATGTCCAAAATGCAGTTTCATCTGAAATATGTTACAAATGTTACTTCAGGTACATGTCCAAAATGCGATTTCACCTGACATATCTTACAAATGTTATTTCAGGTACATGTTCAAAATACAGTTTCAACTGACTGATGTTACAAATGTTATTTCGTACATGTCCAAAATGCAGCTTTAACCGACAAATGCTATACATGTTTTTTCAGATACATGTCCAAATGGCTGGTACGGGTGTGATGATGCATGTTACAGTTTGTTTACTACGAAAACACACAAGCTGACATGGGTGGAAGCTAGGGAAAGCTGTTGGTCCAAGGATGCCTTCTTGGCTGCAATTACGTCTATTTATTCTTATGGGCGTAGGGAGGCTGCATGCATAAAGGAAACACTGATTAACTGGAATAATAAAGATTCACCTCCATATATTAACCATGAACGGCAGCAATACATATACGCAGGTACCAATTTAAAAGTCGTTAAAATATGTACTTGAATAAAGGAGTTTCTAAATAGCTAAATAGCAATTCTCGTTTTTTCATGAGATTTAAAAAGATTTGCACTTTTTAACTCTTGTGACTTACTTTTCTTTATTTTTAGCATATTTGAATTCAGTCACAAGTCTTCTCTAGTAATAGCTTTGATCTACACAGTTATGTCATTTATATCATCTTCCATGATATTGTGAAAAAACTTGGGCCAAATCTCCATTGGTGCAATGCTAATATTCATCAAAACCTTGGTTTATTCGTATGACAACCAACAATTTCAATTTTAATCACAATATGTACATTGATATGGTCATACAATAGTATGCCGTTCGAGTTCTAGACAGATTCAACCAACACTTTTTGATAAATCATGAGATTAAGTGACTATTGCAAGTTTCTAGCGTTGAAGTGACTAGAGGTGTGGTCCAAAAGGAATCAAAGACAAACAAGGGTGACATCTATTAGCGATATTCATCTATCTAGAAACTATACAACTGAACATGGTTAATATTTGTAAAGTGTGGGCTGCAGTTATACGATGCTATGAATGCCCATATTTAAAGCAGTGTACCAATTAGATAACGTTATTCTACGTACTCTATCTATAATATTTGAAGTTTATTGTATCTTCGATAAAATTCTTTTCAATTACGATGAAATTACCGGGACCCCTGTGCTAACACAATGAACTGCTATCATTTTTATTGAGTAACTATGTCACAACGTAATTATGTCTGGAACAAGATGGCATGTGTTTCGCTAGCAGCAACTAATTTCTCAATCAACGTATGCATGCAGTGAGCGCATGGTTTCTTGATTCAAAAATTTAATTAGTATTCACTTGGCATCATTACAGAGCGCCGTGTTAGCGGTTTCAGTTCCTCACTTTTTTTTTTATCAGCGACGCCACTCTCTTAGTTTTTTAAAAGCACTATTTGGAAGTGTTTTTGTGCCTATTATTAGATTGGGGCTAGATGGGCAAAGTTTCAAGCTCAATTTTCCCAAGTCTAATTGGTGATATACAGGGTGGTCAAAAAACTGGAAACCCTCACACTGTTTTCCTAATATCTTTGTCATATTAAGAAATAACTTTACACGTTTGTGCATCATTCAATTTCCTACCGGCCTACTATATTTCATGACCATCAGATTGATAGTCACTGTTTTACAGCACTTTAAAGAACATTCCCAATGGCCACTATTGCGGTATAGAGAAACCTGCACATGTCGTCCAAAATGTCCCTACCTATGGGGATATGGAAAATATAGAGTGTATAAAAATGACCTCAGGACAATTAAAGACCTCAAAAGTGAGATGATCTGTATCATTCAATGCCGATGAATGCATTTGGGTTATTGACAACTGGGCGGGTTTGCCTACAACCCGATGATGGCCAAAACTACGGCTTGTTGTTCAAAGTGTTTTAAAATCATTACTATCAGTCTGATGGTCATGAAATATAGTAGGGTAATAGGAAATTGAAGGATTTACAAATGTGTGAAAAATCAGGGAGTAATTTCTTAAAATGACAAAGATATGAGAAAAATGCAGGGTTTCTATTTTTTGACCACCCTGTATGTGGAAATATCCATACATTTTAAGAAAATAGAGTAATTATGAAGAAGAAGATGTAAAATAAACGACGATCTGATAGTTGGGAAAGGTAAAAAGTCAAAATTTCCTCTGTAGCCCTTGTTGTATACAGTAAAAGCCTGAAGGCCAAATACATTGACATTGTAAACGAGAAAGGTTCCAAGTATTATGTTCGCCTTTGAACGAATCCGATAGCGAAATGGTCCGAGTGACGGAATTCCCTCATTCCGTTATCTCATTCGTTATTTTTACGATTCCTTATTGATGAAAAATTGTGAGCAATGGCCTCTTAATTCGCAACCTGTCACCAAAAACTTTTTAATGTCTTAGGGCCCTCTTCGAGGATCCGAAGTTAATTTGAATCTAGGTAGTTTGGTTACAACGGGGGTTGGCCCTAGACCTATCAGGTTTCTCTGTTTTATCAGGAGATGAAATTGGGATTATCGGAGAATCAACGGCATGATTTTTGAAAAGATTGCTACTAACATTTATTTACATTCTCCATATTCCTTCTTTTTTCTTTTAACCGACCATACTCTTCATTTCAAGGTTTAATGACTGGTGCTAGAACATGTGGTTTGTTAGTGTATGAATGCTGTCAAAACATCCAACATTTACATTCTCTAGTATTCCCTCTAAATCTATTAACCCTACTATGGTTTTCATTTAAAGGTTTAATGACTGGTGCTAGAACGTGCGACTTGTTGGTGACAAATAAGAATAGCGCAAATACATCTGAAGTCAGCATTACATGGAGTCAAGCAAATTGTAAAGAAAATGTCACCGATACTTTCATCTGTGTAAAGATGAAAAATACAACATGTAAAGCACATTGGCCGTACTCGTGCGCCGGTTATCCCGCTCGCTACAAGGTGAATGAAGCTATAAAGTGCCAAAACGAAGGGCTGTACACAATACCTACATATACATTCTGGTTCATATCGGAAGATGTAAGATACTTGTCTGCAGGCTTCAACAGAATAAGTTACATAGAAAATGGAATGTTTCATGGAATGCCAAATCTAGAAGAATTAATACTTCATAAGAATCATATACGCGAAATATCCTCGTTTGGATTTAAGGGGCTGGATAAACTCGAAATTCTTCATTTGTACTTAAACACCGAGCCCATGAAGTTGAAGAACAGATCATTTGGAGGTTTGCACAGACTTAAGTTCTTGAATATACACAGTCTAACAAGTTTGGAGTATCCAAATAACAGTAAAATATTTGAAGATTTAATTTCTCTGGAGAAACTCCACATGTGGGGATGGAATATGAAACATGAAGAAGACTTTTTTCTCCCTAATCCACACCTGTTACGTAGATTACGCATGGATCAACTACATGCACACACAATGCTGTTTAGAAACCCAACGAACTATAGTAACCTTGAGGAGCTTAGGTTTTCTAGCAATGATAGAATATTAGATGGACAATTTAATGGGTTAAACAAACTGAAAATTCTTAGTGTAAGATCCATGCAAATACTACGTCTAAATCCTGCCACGTTTGAAGGTCTTCAATCACTGACATACCTGTTTATTGGGAATTGTAACATCAACACGATCGAGCAACACACATTTGCCAAACTTCAAAATATTGAGCGGATCATAATTTCACAAAAGGCATTGCCCAGATACCCACTAACATTATTTGAGGGACTTAAGAATTTGACTAGTGTTGAAAGTGATCATATGGAATTGTGCTGTATAGTTCCATCAACAGTGAAAGAGTGTATTCCACAGCCGGACCACCTTTCATCCTGTGAAGATCTGGTGAAGAACGACATACTCAGGGTGTCTCTGTGGACAATTGGTATATGTATACTACTTGGGAACTGTGCAGTCATAGCAATTCGGTTCCGGGAAGACGGCACGAGGCAAAGTATTAACAAAATATTGGTAGTGAATCTATCATTATCGGATATGATAATGGGAGTATACATTATCATAATTGCTGTGATGGATATGAAATACAGAGACACCTTCTTTCAAATCCGGGAGGTCTGGACCAAAAGTGGCTTATGCATGGCTTCAGGATTTATTGCATATTTGTCAACTGAAATGTCTGTGTACATCCTCGTTGTCATGACGCTTGACCGATTCCTCAAAATAGTGTTTCCCTTTAAAATGTGGTTACACTTTTCCAAGCGTGTTGTACATTGTGTTCTCGTCTTTGGCTGGATTCTTTGTATAACCCTAACAGCTTTACCACTTCTCCCTCTCAATTACTTCAGCCCTCATGAATTCTACACACAGTCCGGCTTTTGCTTGCCACTAGTGTTGAATTATGATTCTGCAAAAGAAGCCATGTTTAACAAAGCCATGTTAAACCAACATGAAAGTACCGAATTGGAGGAAAACATTGCATTAGATAGACAAAACATGCAGCAACAATATTCCCATTTCAACGGTTGGGAGTATTCTTTCGCTCTTTTTAATGTTGTCAACCTTATCGCCCTTCTTCTTATAGCTGCTGGCTACTTGGCTATATTCTTTGCTACAAAGATCTCCAGATTAAAAACCAAACAATGCTCTGGACAGGAGAAAGAAAGAAGGATGGCGGCGAAATTGATGTGGATCGTAGCAACTGACTTCTGCTGCTTGGTTCCCGTAATAATCATGGGATTTCTAACCTATTACAAGGTACAGCTACCAGGTTGGTATTTTTATGTATACGAAGAGTGATTCAAAAGTCTTGGACGCCCTGCTCTAATTTTGTCGGTTTTTGATAAAATTACTTTAAACTTTCCAATAATAAAGACCCACAACCTAACTACTTTGTGTTTTAATTTCATGGTGAAATGATATAGTTTATGTAGTTTTCTCGAAAGTTATTAGTATAGTGACCCTGCCATCCGGAACGGTATTCGCACATGGCAATTTTCAGCCTTAAATGTTGCCGCTATTTGACTTGTTTTGCGAGGCTTGATCACTATATTTTCTAAAATTTTGAATGTTAAACCATGTTAGTTTACTTCACTCTTAAAAATGAATAACTTGAGTATTTCCCAAGTTTTTCCCAAGTATAAAAATTACTTGAAGTTAAATACTTAGTTTTACTTCATTTTACTTAGGTTTAACTTATATTATCATTTTGAGTTTTTTAATTGCTTAATTATGTAAATGAGTATTACAATTACTACCGTAAGTATTTCAATTTCTCTCCTTGCATTAGTAAATTCACCATAAATAAATTACTTAAAAATTATTCAGTAGTTCAAGATTATTTAAGTAATTTTTGACTTAAAATGAGTAGTACAATTTCTCAATATAAGGAAATCCAAGTAATAATTTTTAAGAGTGTTCCTTTGTTACTAGGCAACCAATTAATTCTGTTTTAATCATAATGTCACATATGACAATGACCGTATATGTCAAGATCTAAGAAAATGACATCAGACAATCAACCCTCATTCTGGTATCATTTTTGTTCCAAGATGGCTGCTGAAATGCAGAGCATGAAAGAAATCAAAGTGAAACAAAGAATACTACAATATATTTTCACTATTATTGACCTTGAGCAACTACCATATGCACGATACAATCTAGATATGGCTCCGTGTGATTTTCTTTCTTTTCTCCAAGTTGAAAAGAGGGTTGAAAGAAAATGTTTTTTACTCATTGGATGAGGTTAAGAGTGGCACTCCTGCAGTATTTGCATCACATAAGCAATGGCGGTTTCATAAATGTCTTTCATTGATTGGTAAAGCGGTATGAAAAATGTGTTCAAATTTGTGGAAAATATGTTGAAAAGTAGGTCTTAATATGTGAAGATGATAATGTCAGATGACACTCAGACTGAAAATCGGAATTTCTCTCATATCATGACTGGTGTTAGGTTGTGCACTTGCACCTAAAGTATTTGCCATATAATATTATAACAGTTGTGACGTGCTTTTTCATATTTAAATACCGTTACGGGTAGCAAGGACCCGGTATCAAAAAACATTTAGAAACGTAGCTAAAATATATTATTTTCTGTTGAAACTTATTCACAAAGTTGTTAAGATGTTGATCTTTATTATCTGAAAGTTTCATGTAATTATATAAGAAAATAGCAAAGTTAGAGCGGGGCGTCCAAGACTTTTGGATCACCCCTCGTATTAGTATAAGAGCACGTGTTCTTACATAACTTCGAGAGTTAAATATCATTTTGCTTGAGCAAAATAGAGTATCTAAGTGCGCTCCTTAGTGATTTTTAAATCACCTCTTCTGCACGTTGGAAAGCTGAGAGTGTCAGCTTTAGGAATATAACTAATTAAACCCTGGTTATATGATATTATTACATAAATGATGTGATCAAAGCAAGCATACACATACGTGCACTTTATAAATACAAACACATCATTCAATGCCCCCTGTGTCCTTGACGATGGATACGAGTATTCGAGACAGCTTTAAAAATTGTTCGGAAAAGTTGAGGTTACGATAATATTAAATCAAAAAAATCATGTCAAACCCGCCGTTGACACACTTGTTGAAGTACACTAAATAAGTCGCATGATATTCTCGCATGATATATTCCCTTGAATACACTTAATTAGACGACTATCAATTTATCATACTCCGTGGCTATGTTAGTCTTCAACATACTGTCCCGAGACACTGCATGGGATTTTGTCAATTTATTCGACAACAATTTCGTTTCACATTAAAAGTTTTTTTTCAAAAAAAATGACGCGCTGAAATTATAGATTTCAGAAGTTTAGAAAAATAGCCACAATTACGTTTACGTTTAGTAAAATCGTTGTAAATTTTCACAAATAAATGAAAAAATTGCAACACAGAGTAAACCTAGTGTAATCAATAGCCCAATAGCCATTGGTAAATAAAACAACATATCAAAAATCTAGAAAAATCTAAGTTGTGGAAAACCTTAAATTCACCATTTATACCCATTGGGATAATTTTGTAAGGGGGTAATATGATAATCATTAATAATTTCTGTTACATAACTCTAATCTCTATAAAATCTTCAGGGATCACGCGCCTATATATAGTGAGTTGTCACGACAATTTTGAAATTAATTGGTCAATTGGTTACCATAGCAACACAATTTAATTGCTCAAAATCTTAAATATTTCAAGTAAATCTGAAGCTTCTTATAATAACAGATGTTGCCATTTCTCTTCAAATCATTTGAAAATGAACATCAAACTACCCTAAAACATATTTGGGGAGTGTTTAATAAGATAACATGATAAATGTGATAAATTATATGATATCTTTGACCATGAACTCTATTCTATTAGGTAACTACCTCTCTATCTACTCAAAAAGTTGGTGTGGCACTTTTCAGTGATAATGTCCTAAAACAGTTATTTTTACAAAATCAGTCACAGTTATATTTATAGGGCTCATGGATACAGATGTTATTCTTTAATATGGTGAGTCTGTACATGGTTGGTCTAGGGGTTGCCACAGTAACACAGAGCATAATAAACGCAAATAGTGTAGTGCATATGTTCTGAAAAAACTTATCTCATAACATAGAATATGATTCAACCCCCAGCGTATATGGTGTCCTTCAATACCAAGAACATGTCATCCAATAGTCTAATATGGTAGAACCTGAGACTATAGAATAGTTCAGAAGAACCTAAGTTGGTTCAGCCTCCAGAGTATATAGATGGTACAGCCTCAAGAGTATAAAATTAGTGCAGTCTCAGGAATCTCATATGATACAGCCTCAAGTAGTATAATGTATTCAGCATCCAGAGTCCAAGATGATATATCATTCAGAATCTAGGATTGCTATAGTAGTCAGAGCCTAGAATCAGGACAGCCTCCATAACTCTAAGATGGTATAGCCGCCAGACCCTTAGATGGTACAGCCTCAAGATATAACATGGAATCAGTCTCCAGAGTCTAAGATGATACAGCTTTAGAGGCTGTGATTGCTATAGCATCCAGAGGCTAAGATAGGCACAGTTTCCACGAGTCTAAGATGGTACAGCTTCCAGATATAACATGGGTTCAGTCTCCAGAGTCCAAGATGGTAGATCCTTCATTCCAATCAGAGCCTATGATAAGTACAGCCTCCAAGAGTCGAACATGTACAGCCTCCAACCCTTAGATGGTACAGCCTCTCGATATAACACAGGACCAGTTTCCAGATTTTAAGATGGTACAGCCTTCAGAGCCTAAAATGGTTCAGCCTCCAAAGTTGAAAATGGTATAGCCTACGACTTATATTAACAATAAGAGTCTACAATGGATACAGCCTCCTAGAGACTAGGGTGATATAGCCTCCAGAGTCTTCAATGGGTATAGTCTAAAGAGTCAAAAATGGTATAGCCTCCAGAACCTTTGATGTGTTCTGGAAACAGCCTTCGAGAGAAGATGGTACACCTTCCAGATGCAGAGTTAACAATGTACCAAGAGTCTACAATGGGTATAGCCTCAAGAGCTTTTAGTGTTTAATGGGTACATCGTCCAGAGTCTACAGTGGGTACAGCATCCATAATCTAGGATTGATACAGCCTATATAGTCTAAGTTGATAAGTCTTCTAGAGTCTAAGATGTCAGGACTCACAAATTTGCCATATAACATCAATATGTGATTAATAAATAGATATAAGATGGTACAGCCTCTAGAGGTTGTAGACTCTAGTGTTTAATGGGTACATCCTCCAAAGTCTACAATGGGTAGAATATCCACAATCTAAGATTGATACAGCGTACAGGGTCTAAGTTGGTACATCTTCTTGAGTCTAAGATGTCAAGAATCACCATTTCGTCACATATAATACCAATCTGTGATTAATTAATAGGTCAGGAAATGCTTAGACAGATGGGCGGGCAGACGAACAAACAGAGCAGTATTTCAAGAAACAGCATTATTAGTTGTGTTACCAGAGCAAACGCATATCAATATTATCCAAACCTGTATTTGTTAAAAAAGATCATACAGTTAAACAGTTCTTAAGGATGAATGTAATAAACAATTAAGATTAACAAGGATTGCCTGAAATGACCTCTACCCCCGATTCACATACAATATGTTGTGTTACTATTGTTACCAATGGACAAAAGATATTTGGACTCACCATTCCATATAATTACATTTGTATTAATGACCTTTGTAAATATGATTCTGTCAACATGAAATTATTTGGAATTGTAATAACAAAAAGTGCCACGCCCACTTTGTGGTAAATTGAGCAGTAGTTATCAAACATGAGCCAAATATGTCATCCTATTAACCTATTTATCATGTTATCTTGTTGTAAACTCCTTCAATATGTATTACGCTCAACTTTGTGTTCATTTTGAAAAATTAAAAATGACAAACTTAACGATCTGTTTGTAGGGAAACGGTAGATTTATCCTTAATATTTACAATATTTTGCAATTAAGGTATGTTGTCATGGTAACCAATTGACCAATCAAGATCAGTCTTTTCATGACAACTAACTATATATGGATGCGTAATCCCTGAAAATTTGAATGTGATTTGAGGCACCCAACAGAAGATATAAATGCTTATCACCGTACCCCCTCATAAAATAAGACCAGGGGGTACAAATAGTGATTTTTACATGTCTTCCACTACTTAGATTTTTCTAGATTTTTGATATGTCTTTAAACTCATCAATATGCATTTGTTGCACTACGTTTAATAAGTATTGCAATTTTTTCATTTATTTTTAGTGTTTTTACTGGAGTAGTTGAGTGGAATCAATTGATGGTAGGTGTGGTAGTTGTTGTTTTATATTACTATTACGTATCTGTCACACATTATAAAGTAGTGGTAAATATGCTTCTAGCGATCAAATAAATGCGATCCATGACTGGAAATCTTGGATAACTCAATGTACGGCTATCCAAGAAAGAACACATTAATAAAAAGGCCGTACATTTAGTTTTACTTGTAGAACTACATGTACTTTACCATTTGTATTTTGGAATTATGTAATAGTATTGATAAGTATACTTATCAGGGCATATTTAAATAGATATTAAGGTCAAAGGGAAATGATGATACCTAATGCCAAGTCAATGGTGTTCATTCTCATGTTAGGGCAATTTGATGATTTGCATTCAACTAATCTGGATTCAAACTCACAAATATTCTCTAAAATATTATTTGACATTGATCTTGTAATTGCAAACCAAAAAATAATCCATTCTAGCCATGGGGGTATTCGCCATTTTGAAATTGATTTTCATGAAATTAATAAATGCCCTTTGGTGATGTAAGGGTTAACATCTAATTTTGAATTCAGTGAAAATTAAAATGGAGGCTAGTTTCTTAAAGCTGACAATGTCAGCTTTACAATGATGTATGACAGCCTCAGTGCAGATGGGGTCTTTATATGACCTTTGTTTACTTTACTATATCGTTATTTTGATGCTAAATTATTCAGACGTCACAAAGCACATTATTCTTATAATCGTTTATCAACTTCTACCATGAAGACTTTAAAACGAACCTCAATTTTTTGTAGAACTGGTCCAATAGTGTCACGATTAATGTTAATATTTTAAAGGAATATTCCTTGCCAGACCCTTTCTCTCTTGATATGGTAGCTATTATCATATATATAGTTTCCATATTTAGCAAAACATGGGAAAATGTTTTAATATGGTCAATATTGATCATTTAAAAATCTAGTGCTTATTTCCAGTGAGCTGCCATCTTTTAAGATTTCTGGCAGGAAGTGATGTCATCAACTCTCAACTTCTATAACCTTGCCCATAACAGTATAGGAAAGTAGCACAAAATCACTTCTAGACAAGTGATCATTACTTTCTGTGCAAAAAATATTTTCAGGGCTTGTCAACTTAGAATAAAAGAAGAGATTTTCAGAAGTATTAAATAAGATACAAAGTTTTTTTTATCTTTTTATTATTTTTTATTTCATCATTTACTTATATATGATACAATATATGAGTACAAATAAATATGAATATAACCGTACAAGAATCAAATTACAATCAATCAAAAGTATAGGCATATTGAATTAAAAGTTTTTGATTAAATTTTTAATCCACAATGCTAAAACAGTTTCCCTTTCTATGACATGGAATATAGATTCATAAAAATGTAAATTTGTAACAAAGGCTGTTCTTATATCGAATCTTTTCCAACTTTCATGATCTTCAGAAAAATTGCACCAATTATTATAAATTGTTATGCCAAGAATTGTTATTATGACATTTCTAAAATTGGTGATATTGTTCCCTGGTAAAAATCCAGTAACAATTTGTTTGTATTTAATTTGACACTTAAACTTTTCACTTAACTCTTGCCACACATGTCTTACTTTTATGCATTCAAATAACATATGTTTCATATTGTGTAATTCATGACATATTTGACAATTTCTTGGAACTTTATTATTCCATTTAGATATCCACATGCCAGTAGATTGTTCAATATTTTGAAATTAAATTCTGAGAAGTAATTATAACTCATGTTCATTAATTTCTGATTATAAATACTTTTCCATTGATGCTGTTCTACAATAGTAAAACAAGTACTCCAGTATGTTTCATGGATATTTCTCTCAAATTTAGAATTTCTCATAATGTTATAGAAAAATTTGGCTTTTTTACCTTCAAGTTTAATAAACTGATTTTCAATCAAAAAGTCTGTTTTATCCTTTACATTAATGAAGGGTAGATTAGTTATCACGATTTGAACAGACGCTCATAATAGCTTTCTTGATTGTATATAATTCTACCATCCAGTTCCTCTTTCGAAGTAAAACCTGAGTACATAACTGACTGCTTTTAAAAGAACCATTTGGATTAAAAAAAATCTTTTACATAAACAAAACCTGACTGAATCCAGTTTTTAAAGAATCAAACTTTTCCTCTATTTTGGAATCGCCTGTTGAACCATAAAACCTCACTGAAAAAATCATCACTTTTAATTTTATCATTTGTTATGTATGTTTTACATGTGTTGAATGAGCAAAATATGTACTTATAAAAAGGTGTTAATATGTTTATACCATTTATTGATTGTTGGTTAAAGTTGCAGTTCAAGAAAGTTTCTAATTTTAGACCTGTTTTCTTTATAAGGTACGATGGAAAAAGTTTCCATGATGTTTTGCTAGTAAGTAATCTATTTATCCAAATAGACTGAAGACTTTGTATTTTAAGCTTAATATCTACTACGTTTAATCCCCCATCCTCTATTGCTCCAATTATTGAATTTCTTTTCACTTTATCCTTCCCATTCCATAAAAAGTCGAAAACATTCTCTCTATTTGTTTAACGATTGACTCCTCAATTTCCATAACTGTAAAATTGTATACAAGCTTTGACATTGCTAGGGAATTAATAATTTGAGCTTTTCCAAAATATGTTAATTTTCTCATTTTCCATGTTTGTAATAGCTGTTTTAGATCCCTTAGTCTTGATTCCCAGTTTAAAGAATGACATTTTTGTTTATCCCCAATGTGAATTCCAAGGCATTTTATGGGTGTATTACTGAAAAGTATTTCTTCAATGTATTCGTCCTTTGAATCCTGAAGAGAGCCCAGTTGTATGCCTTTAGTTTTATCAATGTTTAATTTAAGCCCACTAACCCTAGATAATTTCTCTATTTTCTGTAATGCAGCTTTAAGAGATTCTTTATCTGATAAAATTAAAGTTGTATCGTCTGCGTGTTGTATTATTTTGATATTTTTATTCTCTATTTCTATACCATGTATTTTATCATCATTTTTGATTGAAACGGCCATTACTTCTGTGCAAAGAATAAATAGCAAAGCCGATATAGGGCAACCTTGCCTTATTCCCCTATACATTTGAAAGCTATCCGAAAACCACCCATTATTTTGAATTTTCAAGACTGGGTCATTATACAAAATTTTTATCCATCTTTTGAAGTTATTTCCAAAGTTAAATTTGTCAAGTGTTTTGAACATAAAATTCCAATTAATAGAATCAAACGCTTTTTTGTAGTCCAAACATACTAATAAACCTGGTATATCTTCAATATTAGAGTAATCTATGATATCAAGAAGCAATCTAGCATTATAGCCGATAAAACGGCCAGGAATATATGCAGACTGGTTGATATTAATCAAGTTTTTTACTTCTTGTAATCTTTTTGCCAAAACAAAAGCAAGTATTTTGTAGTCATAATTAGACAGACTAATTGGTCGGTAATTGTTTAAAATGTACTTATCACCTTTTTTATACAATAGAGTTAATGCAGATAATCTCATAGAATCACTCATTTCCCCCTTTTCAAAAATCTCTTGTAAAACTGAAAAATAGATTTCCTTTATTTCCTCCCAAAAGCATTGGTAAAATTCAGGAATAAGACCATCTATTCCTGGACTTTTGTTTCTTTTCAAATTCCTGACTGCAAAATCTATTTCAGATTGTAAAAATTCATTTTCACATACATTTTTCTCTGTTTCTGTTAGAATATGATCCAGATTAATATTTTGCAAAAAAGCGTCTATGTTATCAGATGAATATAGTTTCTGGTAAAACGATTTTGCTTCACATAAAATATCTTCACTTTTAAAAAAAGTCCCATTTTCAGTAGAAATCTTATTTATAACATTTGATGTTTGTCTTTTTTTCTCAAGATTCAAAAAATACTTTGTACTTTTTTCACCATATTCTACCCATTTCGCAATTGACCGAATTTGAAATCCTTTCGCCTTTTTTCATATATATGATCTAATTTTGATTCAAAAGCTGCTTTTTTAATTATTAACGAATTAGATACTTCAATGTTATTACATCTTTCAATAAAAGTGTTTATGTTGTCAATTTTTTCTTGTAAAAGTTTGCATTCATTTTTCTCATTTCTAGATCTTTGTATAGAGAATCTTATAGAAGTTTCCTTTATTTTGGCTTTTAGAATTTCCCAAAACACTCGTTTTGAGTCAATTTTTTCAAAATTCCTTTTAACATTTTGAATACATTCAATAATTTTGTGTTTATACTCGAAATCATTCAGTAAACTACCATTAAGCTTCAAAGATACAAAGTTGAAAAAGAATATTTAGCTGGTTTTGTAATTCTTAATAGCTCCTCACCTATGCTATATGCAAAGTTTAGAGTCGATGACATCACTTCCTGTGTATATATATGAAAATGAAATAAGCATTGTTTTCTTATAATAATTATTCATTTCAGGAGAAATTGTTGCATATGTCAGTATATTTGTGTTGCCAATCAACAGCGCTATCAACCCAATACTCTACACATTTAGCACACTTCCCTTGAACGTACTACGGCTAAAATGCAAGTGTAGATCAGCACCTGAGCCAACACAGACGCCAAACCCAACTTAAACAAATGATTCAGTTATAGCAGCCACAACAACCACTAAACGTCTAAAGAAATGAAGTTGAACTATGAACACTAACATGTAACATTTGTGTATACAAGTCAATGAAGTGATTGATCTATCAAAAATGAGGTAATGCATTGGGAACACTAACATATAACATTTGTTTATATTTCTTATAAACAGACATTTTAGTCAAAAGAAACTAGGTGATGAATTATGAATACTAGCCTGTGACATGTGTGCATACACGAGGTGATGAATTATGAATACTAGCATGTAACATTTGTGCATATATCCAAGTATTTGAACTATCACTTATGCATATATCAAAGTGATTGAACAATCAGAATTATGAATACTGGCATGTAACACCTGTGCATATATCCAAGTAATTGAACTATCAATACAAAGACACGAGGTGATGATTAATGAACACTAGCCTGTGACATTTGTGTATTTATCCAAGTGATTGAACTATCAGTACAATGACACGAGGTGATGAATTATGAATACTAGCATGTAACACTTCTGCATATATCCAAGTGATTGAACTATCAGTACAAAGACAAGAGGTGATGAATTATGAACACTTGCCTGTGACATTTGTGTATTTATCCAAGTGATTGAACTATCAGTACAAAGACATGAGGTAATGAATTAGGAATACTAGCATGTAACACTTGTGCATATATCCAAGAGATTGAACTATCAGTACAAAGACAAGAGGTGATGAATTATGAATACTCGCATGTAACACTTGTGCATATATCCAAGTAATTGAACTATCAGTACAAAGACAAGAGGTGATGAATACTGAATACAAGCATGTAACACTTGTGCATATATCCAAGTGATTGAACTATCAGTTCGTACAAAGACACGAGGTTATGAATTATGAACACTAGCCTGTAACATTTGTGTATTGGTCCAAGTGGTTGAACTATCAGTACAAAGACACGAGGTGATGATTTATGAACACTAGCCTGTGACATTTGTGTATTTATCCAAGTGATTGAACTATCAGTACTAAGACGTGAGGTGATGAATTATGAATACTAGCATGTAACACTTATGCATATATCCAAGTGATTGAACTATCAGTACAAAGACACGAGGTTATGAATTATGAACACTAGCCTGTGACATTTGCGTATTTATCCAAGTGATTGAACTATCAGGACAATGACACGAGGTGATGAATTATGAATACTAGCATGTAACACCTGGGCATATATCCAAGTGATTGAACTATCAGTACAAAGACACGAGGTTATGAATTATGAACACTAGCCTGTGACATTTGCGTTTTTATCCAAGTGATTGAACTATCAGTACAAAGACACGAGATGATGAATTATAAATACTAGCATGTAACACTTGTGCATATAATCAAGTGATTGAACTATCAGTACAAAGACCCGAGGTTATGAATTATGAACACTAGCCTGTGACATTTGCGTATTTATCCAAGTGATTGAACTATCAGTACAAAGACACGAGGTGATGAATTATGAATACTAGCATGTAACACCTGTGCATATATCCAAGTGATTGCACTATCAGTACACAGACCCGAGGTTATGAATTATGAACACTAGCCTGTGACATTTGCGTATTTATCCAAGTGATTGAACTATCAGTACAAAGACAAGAGGTGATGAATTATGAATACTTGCATGAAACACTTGTGCATATATGCAAGTGATTGAACTATCAGTACAAAGACAAGATGTGATGAATTATGAATACTAGCATGTAACACTTGTGCATATATCCAAGTGATTGAACTATCAGTACAAAGACAGGAGGTGATGAGTCATGAATACTAGCATGTAGCAATTGAACATATATCCAAGTGATTGAACTATCAGTACAAAGACAGGAGGTGATGAATTATGAATACTAGCATGTAACACTTGTGCATATATCCAAGTGATTCAACTATCGGTACAAAGACACGAAGTGACCAATTATGAATACTAGCCTGTGACAGTTGTGTATTTATCCAAGTGATTGAACTATCAAATGAAACGAGATAATGACTTATTAACACTTGCATGTAATTTTTGTGTATATTTCTAATTGATAAAAGTATCAACGGGTATGAGGTGATGCATTGTGAGCGCCAGAGTGGTCAGTCTGAAGAAATGAAGTGATGAATTATAAATACTTGCGTATAACACCTGCAACTTTTTAAATGGCTAGAAAAGTATCATTACATTATGGTATTGACATGAAGTTTTGTACAGAAACTCAAGGAGAGGCATAATTTACCATTCAAATATTTAAACTAACACTGATTTAACTTTCTTCGTCAGATCTTTGAATATCAATGGTAAATTGTTCATGTGTCTGAGATTTACCGTTTTTCTCCAACAAAAAATAGAACTTTCTATGATTTTATTTTATAAAACGTTCATTGTGTTCACTTAATCTGCTACAATATTTGATAACTGTATTACCAAATCCTAGTACAGGATTTTCAGCATCTAGTCCTATTGGATTATGTAATACTGTATCTATTAATTATCCATAAAGTAAATCGTCCCTTCACTTCTATAAGGGTCTAACTACCATTTTGGTGAATTGCATGTAAGAGCAGATTTCCCCAAATCTCTTCTCAAATATGAATGTTCAAAGGCTGAAATAGGAGATTTCAAAGGCAATAAGGTTCCATATGATTCTATCTCTTATTCCATGCTTTAGATAAAACCTTAACATAACAATAAAATGTCATTGTTTAAATTAGAGATAAAACTTCTTTGCATTGATCAACATAATCAAACTACCCTACCACGTGGCAACGTTTGAAAGGGACAAGGGTGCAATTTTGTTGCATATTGAAGACGTGAGTTTATTTCTTTAATTCTGAAGGTAAAGTAGACTTTACATACGTTCCTAGTGTTCTACTATCAATAATATAGATTCCGCTGTTTGCGGAGTATTATTGCCAGAAACCTCTTATAGACAAAGATAGAGAATAGTGGGTACATGGATGTAACGATTGGAGGTAGTACAAGATACGTTTTAGTAAATCTATAAAAGATGAATAGCATACATTCGACATAGTTCAATATTATATGAATTTGAGTTTCCATTTCCATATCTTATATGTATAAAAGGAAAATGATATAGACTAGACACTGATAATTTGTGGCACACCGGTCTGGCCATCAATTCCAATGGGCTAATACTAGTAAGCATCAAAACTAAAAATATGTTACATGTATACATGTACAAACTTCATACTGATGAGGCAGTCACTGCAAAAATAGATTGTTCCCTGAATTTAAAATTCCATTTTACACCATGTCTGTATATAAAAGAAGAAATTACAAAACTGACGAGACATGCCAGTGTGCCAAATGTGGCACACTGGCATGGGCACCAATATTTGTTATCAAAACAAAATATGTACCGTGTATACATGTACATGTACAAGCATCAAACTCTGATGAGTCCATCTTTGGAAAAATATTTGGTTCCCTGAACTTGAGAATCAATTTTACACAACAGCTGTATATAAAATAAAAATGACAATACTAACAAGTCATTTGTAAATTGTGGCACACTGGCATCAAATTCCAATTTTCTAAGCATCAAAATTGAGGTGCAACCTTTTTCATTGTATAACAGTATAATAATGCCACATTTTAGTATTTTTTATATGGTAATCTATTTATTTCATAAATCTTATTTACATCAGACGGCTTGCCAATCGCCAAAAGGCATTATTAGGCCAATCTTAAAGATAACAATATATATAACATGAGCTAATTATGAACAACATTAAGTACATTGTGGCTATTTGGGGGAGTCTGGATAATAATAAGAGTGAAGAGGTGTCAAGTCATTGGTTCAACGAGGACAATGAGAAGGGGGACAGTGGTAAACGGTGCTTCATTTGTAAGGTTCTCGTCAAATATATATCCTAAATGCGTATGTGAAGTTACACGATTAATGGGAATGTTATTCATGACTGTGTCATTGATCTGATTCAATTGATTTTTTGACTTGTGGAGCTTAGTTTCCATTTTTCTGACCAGGATATAATTTTTCTTATAAATTTGTTTACTTTATCATCAATTTCTGTTGGGTTTGAGTGCTAAATGGAAAATAAATGGATGTGCCATCAGCATAGATAAAACAGTCTGCTTCAAGGTCATCTGGTAGATCATAAATGAATATTAGAAAGAGCAAGGACCCTAATATTGACCCCTGTGGGACCCCACCTTTTATAGCATTTGAATCGGATAAATTAGGGGAAATACCTGCAAATGTGACTCTGACTTTGCGTTCAATAAGGTAAGAATTCAGCATTTTTAGAACTTGGCCATGTAAACCATTTGGGTTTGCTTTAAGAAGTAACAGTCTATGTGGGTTGAGTCAAAAGCTGACGCAATATCTAAAAATAGGGCTTTAATACCCATACCTTTATCAAAATTAGTCTGTATGAGGTGTTCAATAGCGACTAGTTGTGAGTGCTGTGCCCAGGCAGAAAACCTGACTGAAATCATTCAAAATCATATGATTTTTAATTCTGTCAGCGATAATAGTTTCAAACATTAGTGTTATGGGTCGATAGATTAAATTTTCTGATTTATCATACTTTTTGTGGATCGGACAAATGTTTCAAATTTTCAAAGAGTTTGGGAAAGTGCCATTTGAGAGTAACTTGTTAAAAAGGTTAGCGAATGGATGAGATATTGTGTGCGCTGACATTAGAGGCATTTTGTTTTTTTTATCTTGTCTGGACCACAGGTTTCTGAGATATCTAGCTTTAAAATTATTTCCATAACTTCTTAAACATTAGTTTGAATTGATATAGTATTGATTGGTATATTTTAGTATAAATATTACACCTTTCTATGATTGAATGTTTGAATGAAGATGTACTGCCAAACCAGACCTGTACATATACACCTTTCCACAT